TTCTTCTTCTTCTGTTTTAATAAATCGTTGAGTGTTGTGGTTCCAGGTGTTTTATCACAAACACGGCTGCAGAGACTCTGGAGGTTTGGCCCCGGGGCCCGGAGGATGGGGCCACAGTCCCGGGGGCCTCGGCTTTGGGGGGGCCCTGGTGTTGCGTTGTCATGGAAACCGGAGGACGAGCAGATGACGGCGAGACACGAGGGAACGAGACGAGGAGGAAGAAGAGAAACTCAGACGCCCAAGATCCACAGAGTCACCGGGAAAAAACTGACAACGACAAATAAACAAAGAAATAAAAACAACGAGAAATAAAATCTACAAAAAATAAAGAAAGTGAAATAAATCAACGACAAATAAAAACGACAAATAAACAAAGTGAAAAAAAAACAACGAGAAATAAAAACAAACTGAAATAAAATCAAAGACAAATAAACAAAGTGAAATAAAAACAAACTGAAAAAAAACCTGATAAATAAACAAACTGAAATAAAATCAACGACAAATAAAATCAAAGAGAAATAAACGAAGTGACATAAAGTAAACGAGGAATAAAACTGAAACTGAAATCAAATCAAAACTGAAATAAAAATGACAAATAAACAAACTGAAATAAAATCACAGAGAAATAAACAAAGTGAAATGAACAAACTTAAATAACGTCAAAGTGAAATAAACAAATGAAATAAAGTCAACATGAAATAAACAAACTGAAATAAAGTCAAAATAAAACACATTTAAATAAATTAAATCACAGAGAAATAAACAAACTGAAATTAACTTACGAAACTTAAATAACGGAAAAGTGAAAAAAACTAATGAAATAATCTCAAACTGAAATAAACAAATTTAAATAAAGTCAACTGAAATAAACTTAAACAATGTCAAAGTAAAATAAATTTAAATGTCAACATCAAATAAACAAACTTAAATAACGTCAAAGTGAAATAAACAAACTTAAATAACGTCAAAGTGAAATAAACAAACTTAAATATTGTCAAAGAGAAATAAACAAACTTAAATATCGTCAAAGTGAAATAAACAAACTTAAATATCGTCAAAGAGAAATAAACAAACTTAAATAACGTCAAAGAGAAATAAACAAACTTAAATATCGTCAAAGAGAAATAAACAAACTTAAATATTGTCAAAGAGAAATAAACAAACTTAAATATCGTCAAAGAGAAATAAACAAACTGAAATAAAGTCAAAATAAAACACATTTAAATAAATTAAATCACAGAGAAATAAACAAACTGAAATTAACTTACGAAACTTAAATAACGGAAAAGTGAAAAAAACTAATGAAATAATCTCAAACTGAAATAAACAAATTTAAATAAAGTCAACTGAAATAAACTTAAATAATGTCAAAGTAAAATAAATTTAAATGTCAACATCAAATAAACAAACTTAAATAATGTCAAAGTGAAATAAACAAATTCAATATCGTCAAAGAGAAATAAACAAACTTAAATATCGTCAAAGTGAAATAAACAAACTTAAATATCGTCAAAGAGAAACAAACAAACTTAAATATCGTCAAAGAGAAACAAACAAACTTAAATATCGTCAAAGTGAAATAAACAAACTTAAATATCGTCAAAGTGAAATAAACAAATGAAATAAAGTCAAAATAAAACACATTTAAATAAATTAAATCACAGAGAAATAAACAAACTGAAATTAACTTACGAAACTTAAATAACAGAAAAGTGAAAAAAACTAATGAAATAATCTCAAACTGAAATAAACTTAAATAATGTCAAAGTAAAATAAATTTAAATGTCAACATCAAATAAACAACTTAAATAACGTCAAAGTGAAACAAACTTAAATATCGTCAAAGTGAAATAAACAAACTTAAATATCGTCAAAGAGAAATAAACAAACTTAAATAACGTCAAAGAGAAATAAACAAACTTAAATATCGTCAAAGAGAAATAAACAAACTTAAATATCGTCAAAGAGAAATAAACAAACTTAAATAACGTCAAAGTGAAATAAACAAATGAAATAAAGTCAACATGAAATAAACAAACTGAAATAAAGTCAAAATAAAACACATTTAAATAAATTAAATCACAGAGAAATAAACAAACTGAAATTAACTTACGAAACTTAAATAACGGAAAAGTGAAAAAAACTAATGAAATAATCTCAAACTGAAATAAACAAATTTAAATAAAGTCAACTGAAATAAACTTAAATAATGTCAAAGTAAAATAAATTTAAATGTCAACATCAAATAAACAAACTTAAATAACGTCAAAGTGAAATAAACAAACTTAAATATCGTCAAAGAGAAATAAACAAACTTAAATATCGTCAAAGTGAAATAAACAAACTTAAATATCGTCAAAGTGAAATAAACAAACTTAAATATCGTCAAAGAGAAATAAACAAACTTAAATATCGTCAAAGTGAAATAAACAAATGAAATAAAGTCAAAATAAAACACATTTAAATAAATTAAATCACAGAGAAATAAACAAACTGAAATTAACTTACGAAACTTAAATAACGGAAAAGTGAAAAAAACTAATGAAATAATCTCAAACTGAAATAAACTTAAATAATGTCAAAGTAAAATAAATTTAAATGTCAACATCAAATAAACAACTTAAATAACGTCAAAGTGAAACAAACTTAAATATCGTCAAAGTGAAATAAACAAACTTAAATATCGTCAAAGAGAAATAAACAAACTTAAATATCGTCAAAGAGAAATAAACAAACTTAAATATCGTCAAAGAGAAATAAACAAACTTAAATATCGTCAAAGTGAAATAAACAAACTTAAATATCGTCAAAGAGAAATAAACAAACTTAAATATCGTCAAAGAGAAATAAACAAACTTAAATATCGTCAAAGAGAAACAAACAAACTTAAATATCGTCAAAGTGAAATGAACAAACTTAAATAAACAGAAACATGATCATTGAAGGAGCTGTACAACATAAAACCGACTCCTGTGACCTTTAACCCATGTTCTACTGTTCTACTGTTCTACTGTTCTAATGTTCTAATGTTCTGTTGTTCTAATGTTCTGTTGTTCCTGGTCACACTCAGAGCTGGAGTTGTGTTCGTCTGTTACATCTGCAAAACTCCAAACTCTCTGCTCCACCTTGTGATGTCATGAAGTGGTGGAAGCTTTTCTCTTTAGTTCAGTCGAGACTCCGGGACTGAAAAAACGATCCGGATGATTCCAGTGAAGTCGTGCGGAGTTTAAAAACACAGTGGAGCACTTCCTGTATATTATATTTATTTACTTGTTGCTTTTATTTTGTTGAGACATTAAACATAAAAACAAATTCCAACTATTTGTTATTTGTTTTGTTTTTGCAGCAGGAACAAAAGGAACAGGAAGAAAATCAAACTTATAAACCTGCTCCTGTCACACATCAAAAAAACAACAAAAAAAACAAAAAAGATAATAAAATAATAAAAATACAATCTCTCTTTTGTCTTTGTATATTTTGTTAAATTTAGAAACACTCGTGCAGCTTTGAAAATCATGTTTTAACAAGTTCCACGTCTTGACTCATTTCTGGTTTAATGTTGTATCACCACGAGATGACGTCACGAGGAGGAACGGGGTCTGAGAGAGAGAGAGAGAGAGAGAGAGAGAGAGAGAGAGAGAGAGAGAGAGAGAGAGAGAGAGAGAGAGAGAGAGAGAGAGAGAGAGAGAGAGAGAGAGAGAGAGAGAGAGAGAATGAATGTGCAGGTTTGTTCGTTAAACTCGTGTCAGTTCGTGATGAGGAAACGACATAAGAACAGAACAGGAAGTCGCTTTTTTTTTTCTTTTTTTTTTTTTTTAGGTCACAGGTCAAGTTCTACAAAAAGAACAAAAAGAACAACAAAAAAAGTGAATTTTGTTTGTTTTGTTTTTAAATTCAGTTTATTTCGTGTTTTGTTGAAGAGGCTCGTGGTTCAAAGAGTTAAAAGTTTTATTAGGCTGGAGAAAGTTTCTTTTTCTACAAACTCGAGTCTGTGCAGAAGCTCCGGGGTCTGAGCCGTGGCCGCCGAACTGCGCCACCGGCCCCCCCCCCCCCCCCCCCCCCCCCCCCCCCCCCCCCCCGCACGCGCGCGCGCGCTGAATCGGCTCTCGTCACCGCGGGAGGATCGATTCTCGTCACCGCGGGAGGATCGGCACGGCGCGGGGGGGTGTTCGATCATCGATTAAAGAATGAGGAAAAGCTCGCGCTGAGTCCGGAGCCAATAACGCGCGTGGGGCCGGATCACATGTGCGCGGTCACGCCCCGCGCTCGCGCAGCACGCACCCGCCTCCTGCCTTTTGTCTCCGCGCACGAACTTTTTTTTTTTTGCAGCGGCGTGGACCGAGCGCGGGGCTGAAGCGTCTCGTGGTGGAAGCGTCTCGTGGAATCCCGTGGACCGTGGACATGCGCGCGAAGTACCGTGGACACGCGCGCGTAACGGAGCGGTGACACGCGCGCGCTGGACGTTCATGGAGGTGGCGCGTCCCGTGGGAGGCTTCAGCGCGGCCGTGGGTGAGTGCGGATCCGAGGGTGAGGTGTTTTGACTGGGCACACACACACACACACACACACACACACACACACACACACACACACACACACACAGACACACACACACACACACACACACACACACACACGCACACGCACGGAGGATCCACGGTGTCACGGCTCTGGTTCTGTGTGTGGTTTTTTGTTGTGTTTGTGTTTGTCGCGCGGCTCGTGGCTCCGGTGCGTGTCTCCCGTGGCTCCCGTGGCTCGCGTGGCTCGTGTCGTTCTTCTTGTCGTTCACTTTTTCACACTTGTTGCTGACGCTCGTGCGGATCTTCGACTCTTCACACAGGAAGTATTTGTGATCGCGCTCGGGCCGATAAGAGAAACACGTCTTCACAGAAAAGTGCGCGCGGCGGGACTTCCTTTTTTGGACGCGCTGACATCGACGCTCCGGAGGGTTAGACCCGCGGGGAAGTTCTGCTCCGGGTCCGCGGGTCCGGTCCGGTCCGGTCTCTGCAGCAAAGTCCAGTAAAGTCCAGTCCAGTCGAGTCAGTGCAGTAAAGTCCAACAAAGTCCAGTCAGTGTCCCACAGAAAACAAGAGACAGAACTTCATACGCACCAGGAAAAACTCTGGACTCTGGTCACTGGTCTTTAGTTTAGTCTCTGGTCTCTGGTCTGGTCTGGTCTCTGGTCTGGTCTGGTCTCTGGTCTGGTCTGGTCTGGTTTCTGGTTTAGTCTTTGGTCTCTGGTCTGGTCTCTGGTTTAGTCTCTGGTTTAGTCTCTGGTCTGGTCTCTGGTCTCTGGTCTGGTCACTGGTCTGGTCTGGTCTCTGGTCTGGTCTCTGGTCTCTGGTCTGGTCTCAGGTTTGGTCTCTGGTCTGGTCTCTGATCTAGTCTAGTCTCTGGTCTCTGGTCTGGTCTGGTCTGGTCTCTGGTCTCTGGTCTCTGGTCTGGTCTGGTCTCTGGTTTAGTCTCTTGTCTGGTCTCTGGTCTCGTCTAGTCTCTGGTCTCTGGTTTGGTCTGGTCTCTGGTCTCTGGTCTCTGGTCTGGTTTGGTCTCTGGTCTCTGGTTTGGTCTCTGGTCTCTGGTCTGGTCTCTGGTCACTGGTCTGGTCTCTGGTCTGGTCTGGTCTCTGGTCTGGTCTGGTCTCTCTGGTTTAGTCTCTGGTCTGGTCTCTGGTCTCTGGTCTGGTCTCTGGTCTCTGGTCTGGTCTCTGGTCTGGTTTGGTCTGGTCTGGTTTGGTCTCTGGTCTCTGGTCTCTGGTTTAGTCTCTGGTCTGGTCTCTGGTCTCTAGTTTAGTCTCTGGTCTCAGGTTTGGTCTCAGGTCTCTGGTCTGGTCTCTGGTCTCAGGTTTGGTCTCTGGTCTCAGGTTTGGTCTCTGGTCTCTGGTCTGGTTTGGTCTCTGGTCTCTGGTCTCTGGTCTCAGGTTTGGTCTCTGGTCTCTGGTCTGGTTTAGTCTCTGGTCTGGTCTCTGGTCTCTGGTCTCAGGTTTGGTCTCTGGTCTCAGGTCTGGTCTCTGGTCTCTGGTCTCAGGTTTGGTCTCTGGTCTCTGGTTTGGTCTCTGGTCTCAGGTTTAGTCTCTGGTCTGGTCTCTGGTCTCTGGTCTCTAGGTTTAGTCTCTGGTCTCAGGTTTGGTCTCAGGTTTGGTCTCTGGTCTGGTCTGGTTTAGTCTCTGGTCTCTGGTCTCAGGTTTTCTGGTCTCTGGTCTCTGGTCTCTGGTCTGGTCTCTGGTCTGGTCTCTGGTCTCAGGTTTGGTCTCTGGTCTCTGGTCTGGTCTGGTCTGGTCTCTGGTCTCTGGTCTTGGTCTCTGGTCTGGTCTCTGGTCTCAGGTTTGGTCTCTGGTCTCTGGTCTCAGGTCTGGTCTCTGGTCTGGTCTCTGGTCTCAGGTTTGGTCTCTGGTCTCAGGTTTAGTCTCTGGTCTGGTCTCTGGTCTCTGGTCTCTAGTTTAGTCTCTGGTCTCAGGTTTGGTCTCAGGTTTGGTCTCTGGTCTGGTCTGGTTTAGTCTCTGGTCTCTGGTCTCAGGTTTGGTCTCTGGTCTCTGGTCTGGTCTCTGGTCTGGTCTCTGGTCTGGTTTAGTCTCTGGTCTGGTCTCTGGTCTCAGGTTTGGTCTCTGGTCTGGTCTCAGGTCTCTGGTCTCAGGTCTCTGGTCTGGTCTCAGGTCTCTGGTCTGGTCTCTGGTCTCTGTCTCTGTCTCAGGTTTGGTCTCAGGTCTCAGGTTGGTCTCTGGTCTCAGTCTGGTCTGGTCTCTGGTCTCAGGTTTGGTCTCTGGTCTCAGGTCTGGTCTCTGGTCTGGTCTCAGGTCTCTGGTCTGGTCTCAGGTCTCTGGTCTGGTCTCTGGTCTCAGGTTTGGTCTCTGGTCTCTGGTCTGGTCTGGTCTCTGGTCTCAGGTCTGGTCTCTGGTCTGGGGCAGTGTGGGCGGTGAATAGAGGAACATGTGCTGTGTGGTTCTTGTGGCTCATGACTCGTGAGGTTCTTGTGGTTCTTTTGGTTCTTGAGGCTCTGACTGTAAATACTTGTTTTGTGCAGATGAAAGTTCAGAGGAGTTTTGTGTTGATGTGAAACGTGAAGAGGAGAATGTTCGGTCACACCTGCTGCGTGCGGTTGGTGCAGTTCGTGAAGTTCATGAGGTTCTTGTGGTTGGTGCGGTTTGTTTGGTTTGTGTGGTTCATGTGGTTCATGACGTTCTTGTGGTTCTTGCGGTTCATAAGGTTCGTGCGGTTCTTGAGGTCCTTGTGGTTCGTGCGGTTCGTGAGCGTTAACTGTGACTCGGAGTCTGTTCGCTCAGACCTGCCGCGGCTCTGGGCTCAGGTTTAGGCTGTAAAAGTCATAAAATGTTCTTGTTTGTCATTTATTCTAAAAACATATTTTCTTCTTTCAGATGTAAAAATGTTCTCCTCTTGAAGGTCCAGGATGAGCAGTCACTCGGTGGAGACCCTGTTGGAGCCGGTGTTTGGGAGGAGAATGCCTTCGTTCAGTCACAGTGTGGCTCCGGACGAGCTGCCTCAGCCCCCGAGCGTCTCCAGGCTCGTGGGGAAACCGTACGCCGGAGCTTATTTCTCTTTCAGACCTTCAGGAAAAGACGTGAGCTCGTTCGCGGCGCCGTGGAGCGGCACCGAGAGCCCCGACACACACAGCCCCCAGGCCCCTGACACACAGCACATTTACAGGAGAGAGAGCCGTTCACACGAGAGCCACCCGGGTTGCACAGACTCTGCGGGCAAACCCGGGTTCACCGTGTACAGGAAGAGCCCCGGCCTCAGCGGGCCCCAGAACACCGCCTCTGTCATCGTGCGCAAAGGCCCCGCCGGCGCCGAGAGCGTCTCCTCTGACAGACCCGTGTATCTGAGCGTCCCTCAGGCCGTTTACAGACACAGCCCCTGCTGCAGTGACATGTGCTGTGTGCTGGGGCCCCCCTGGAAACACAGGGACACCGGGGAGCCTCAGAGACCGGGCCCCTCTGACGCGGCGTACGGCCCCGGACAGACTCTGCCGGCTGTGCTCCATCAAACGTACGGCTCCACCAGCGTGAAGGAAGTGAGCCAGAGTTTAGAGTGCTCTCCCAGAGCGTACCCCCGGCTGTACCCCTCCCACGCCGCCTACGAGCCTCTGATTTATCACAGCGCGGCTCCTGTGACCAAATATGGGCACGCGCCGCAGCACCCGCTCTTTTACTATTCCCCTGGGAGTGTGGAGCTGGAGAGGACCGAGACTCAGAACCCAGGCCCCGTGCACGCGGAGGAGGTCCACAAACATCCCCGACCTCCCCCCGGGACCCACTACATGTTCCCCGCTCCTCTGCACGCCGACGTCTCTCTGCGCCGGAGGGAAGTCCTGCCCGGTCCTGCCTTTTTACCAGGACCCGACTTCCCCGGTTACGTCGTCCCGAGGTTAAACATAAACACAAGTCTGAGCCACGGCCACAGACTCCCGCGTTCGGCTCACTCAGACTTCGCCGACTCGAGCCGTCAGCCCGTGCAGCGTCCTGTGGCCACGTTGGCGTCGGGTTTTAGAGACGCGTCGACCCGGCACATGGCGCATTCCTCTGCGATCGTGCGCGTGGAGCAAATGAGTCCTACCACATGTGTGAAAAAGTCTGCAGCGGCTTCAGGCTCTCAGCCGCACAACCGGTACGGCCCCCCGAAAAGCGGCGTTTACGTGAACCCGCACGGAGGAAGAGCTCACCCTCCTCTTCCTCCGCACATACAGGCAGCAGCGCAGTTACACCTGGATGTGCATTCGTCTCGATATCCCATTTATCGTGCTTATCCTAATCACGTCTCGCCGCCGCCAAACACGATCGCGTCAAACAAAACGAAGGCTCAGAAGATCCTCTACTGTCCTCCTCTTCAGACTCTGACTAAACCCGGCGCCGCCCCTCAGCCGCCGTACGCCCACCGAGGGAAGAGAGCCATGTCCACGTCTTCCCCGGTCAAAATCACCGACGACGATGACGACGTGTACGTGGTAGAACCTGCGACCAAGAGACAAAAAACCGATCTGAGAACCGCGGAAGTTAAAAGCACAGATCTCTCTTCTCCGATGCCGGTTATTAATAATGTCTTCAGCCTGGCTCCTTACCAAACGTACCTGCACATGTCCCGGCTGCTTCTGGGGACACTAAACCAGGAGCCCGCGCACTGTACTCCAGATCAAAACCGAACGGAAGAGCTGAAAACTGAAAATGTGAAACCGCACTTTGTCGTGTTAAAAAGTCCAAAAGCTCCTCACAGACACGCGGAACCTGCTCGCCACGTCAAAGAGCTCAAGTCCGATTCAAAGTTTACGAAGAGAGAAGAAATTCAGCCATTTTCCGGTAACGTTAAACTAACAACGCTTCTGTCAGAGGTGAAGGTCAAACAGGAAAGTCCAGATGAGCCGGCACACGTCAGAGCCGCTGTGCCAAAGGTGCCTCCCTCAGATGTTCCTAAAGTGAAGCTTCGGAGAAATAGTAAAAGTAAAACAGTTTTCAAAAAGGAACAGGAAGAAGCGGCGGACCGAAGCAGCTGCTCAGACATTTCAGAGTTTCCAGAACAGCTTAAAATCATTAAAAAAGAGCCGGAGGAAATCGATCCTCCTGACGCTGAAACTCGGATGGAGATTAAGAAATGTGAGCCAGACGCTGATCACGACGAGGACGGAAATAGACGATCTGGACGTGACTTTGGGCAGAGGAACGGAGGCGCTCCCACACACGGCTCCCCTCCTCCTCCTCGTCCTACTCATCCTCCTCTTCCTCTTTCTGCTTCTCCGCATCCTGAAAGAGTCAACTTCCTCAACATTCCTCCTCACTGCCTAAAACTCTCCACCTACAACATCATCCTCCCCGACGTCCACCTGACCCGCGTCGCCCGGAAACACGCCCCGTCTCCCGAACGCCCCAACGCCAACCAGCCAACTGCGCCCGACGTGCCCCCTCAGACGCCTCAGACGCCCGACCCGCCCCCTCAGACGCCTCAGACGCCCGTTCGCAAACATTTCTTCGAGCTGCATCAGTCCCTGGTGAAGCTCATCTCCAAGTCGGTGGCGGCGGCGTCTGAAGACTCTCTGCGCTCGTGGTTGTCCGAGATGGAGCTGAGCCACGTTCCCTCCAGTAAAAACCAGAGAGTCGCCCGTTTGTTTGGCACGAAGGGCACGGACGCCTGCTTGAACGAGGAGATGAAGTCCTCGCTGCAGGAAGTCTACCAGCGGCTGAACGAGTACAGTCAGGAGTGCTGCCCTTTCCCCTTCGTGACCCGCGCCGGCGCCGTCTTCCTGCCCATGCTGGTGGTGAAGGAGGTGCTGTTCCCGTCGGTGCACGGGGCGCTCGTCGACCAGGTGCTTCAGGAGCACAAGGTGGAACTTCGGCCCACGACGCTGTCGGAGGAGAAGGTCCTGATCCAGATGAACAAACGCGCCTGCTCCTCTCGCCTGCGCAGACTCATGTCCTACAAACACCTGCCGGCGGTTTACGGCGACGTCGTCAACCTGCTCTACTACACCTGCGTCTGCAAACACCTGGGTGAGTCCCAACAAACACACACACACACACATATATACACACATACACACACAAACACACACACACAAACACACACACACACAACCTGCTCTACTACACCTGCGTCTGCAAACACCTGGGTGAGTCCCAACAAACACACACACACACACATATATACACACAACACATACACACAAACACACACACACAAACACACACACAACCTGCTCTACTACACCTGCGTCTGCCAACACCTGTGTGAGTCCCGACAAACACACACACACACGCGCGCATGCCCACACACACACATACACAAACACATACACACACGCACACACAAACACACACACCTGGAGTTGTGTTTGTTTGAGTAAATCTTTATTCTGAGTCTTTTACATCTCCAAAGCTCCAAACGCTCTGTTCCACCTTGTGATGTCATGAAGTTCTCAGCTCCTTTTCTCTTTAGTTCAGTCGAGATCAGCGACTCCAGAAAATGAAATGATCCAGATGATTCTAGTGAAGGTGTGTGGAGTTTAAATGTCTCATCTGATGTAAAATAATTCTTCTCACATTGTGACTGATTTCTTGGATCAGTCACAGACCAGGAACTATGAAAGTCCGACTATTGCTCCTCCCCCCGCTCTGTCCTGAGAAAGCACAGGCTCCGCCCTCCAAACATGACGTAGACTGAGTGAGCCGCCCTTCCTCCGCCGTCTCAGGGAGGGAGGGGGAGACAGACGTGACCCTGACCCCGAATTCACACCAGGAGCTGCAGCAGCGCTTAACGTAGGCGGAGCTGCGCGTACGCGTAAACTTCTAAGTTTCAATTCACACCAGAGACCCTCCTGCTGCAGCTGCACATCTTCTCACTGTTTTCAGACATCACATTTTGTACTTGCATTTTATCATTTATTTTATGTTAAAGTTAACGCATTTGCGTTTTATGAGGTTTAAATCTATTAGCACGCACATTAAACACCTCAGTTTTTTTTTTTTTCTTTAATAAGGTGACATCACTTATAATTAACAAACATTATAAGCGTGATTAAAATCTCCATCCAGGTAATAAGGCCAATATGTTTATATGTGGATACATAGTCCTGCACCGAAGGATACGGGCAAACAGTCCCTGAAACAGGCGAGTTTTAACGTTCTGGAATTTTAAGGGTGGGTCAAGACTAAACCAGGACTAAACCAGGTCTAAACCAGGTCTAAAGAGAAGAGAGAAAGCGAACCCTGAGCCCCGTGGAGCAGAGTGTCCGAAAAGAGCGACCGCTGGCACGTACCTCCTCGTCTCCGAGCTCTGCACCGGTCCTTTCACCCGCGATTACTCGGGGCTACACGGAAGGACCTCTGAGCACATTCAGACAGTGAGTCCTGGTTCTGGTTTAGTCTGGTTTAGTCCTGGTTTAGTCCTGGTTTAGTCCTGGCTTAGTCCTGAGTCCTTGTAAAATTGGTGTCTGACATCATAAATTACATTATATTTCTCATTTCGAGGATTCACTTTTCGTCGTCCTTCATTAACCTTTCCTTGGATGCAGTGCGCGTTGTTTACATCGTCTTGACTTTGGTTAAATTATTTTGAAAGGGCATCAGAAGTTTATTTTGACACCACGTGTTTATTTCCTGTCTTTCCCCTGTTAAAACCTTGGAGACGCGCCGTTGACGCTGCAAAATTAGAAGTCCAACCTCTGGAGCAGCGTCAGCGTCAGTCGCTCGTTGGACGTGTGTATGACACTGTCAGTGAACATCGTCAGTCACGTTCAAATGGAGTTCTAAAGCCGCTCGTCTGCCGCTCGTCTGCCGCTCGTCTGCCGCTCGTCTGCCGCTCGTCTGCCGCTCGTCTGCCGCTCGTCTGCCGCTCGTCTGCCGCTCGTCTGCCGCTCGTCTGCCGCTCGTGTTCTGAGCTGCTGCGCTCACGCTCCGTGCAGCTTTGGTGTGAATTGGGGGTGATAGAGGCAGGAATAAACTTTTATTCATCATGGAGACAGGGCTGGGTATCATTCAGAAGTTGTCGATACGATACATACCTCGATATAGTGAGCTTTCGATTCGATACGATAAATATCAAAACGATTCGATACAGTTCAATAAAAAATGAAGGCTGTGATACTAAAAGTCTTTGTTAAACCACTTCTTCTGCAAAATTAATATGAAAAAAGCCAATTTTAATCATCAAAACAATGAAAATGTCAAATGTGTCGCATAAACGAGTTTCCTTCCACTGAACAAGCAACAAAACTGCAGCTCTATAAAAAAATTATTTTGTAAAATATATTAAAAAAAAAACTCTTGATGATATATCAATACAGCCGCCCACAATATCAATACTGTATCAGCACATTAAACAATACGATATATCGATATTTCAATATTTTTGCACACCCCTACATGGAGATGTTCAGCCGCATGTGTTGGACCCGGAATCGGACGAGGACTTTGAGGAGCACGAAGCTCAAGCACCGAGTCCACATCAACTGAACATTACTGATTGGTAAAGTTTTAATAAACACGAGATCAACTTATTATATCATGTTCACTGCAGAGTAGAACAATGAGCTTCTGCTGTCGCTTTTGTTTAGGTTCATGTGGGAACTGTCAGACGATGCAGGTGGAGAAGTCAAAAGCGTCATAGGTGAATCTGATGCGTCGTCGTAGCAGCTTTAGTTCGTTGTCACGTGGGAGGGAGGCAGAAAAAATACACTGCAGTTTGTTAAAAAAAAAAAAACGCCAAATCTAAAAACCACTTCAGCGACAAATCCAAGGCCACACGTCACTGTGAGAAGGTAGAAAGATCTGAAAAGTAGATTTTGCATGAGATGGGCCCTTTAAAAACACACTGGAGCACTTCCTGTATCACCACACGATGACATCACAAGGTGGAACAGTGTTTTCAGTTTGCAGGTTTGTATGTTAAACATGTGAAGGAAACAAAACACGACTCCAGGTCCGAGCGCGAAGAGGAAACGACCCAAGAACAAAGTTGTGTGTGACCTTTGACCTTTAACACTTCTTCTTTCAGTCGCAGGAACAAATATTCAGAGTTTCACTTTTATCTGTCGTGTGTTTTTATGGACGTTCAGACGCGAGAGAAGATTTAAATTAGAATATTTCATGATGAAAAAAACAACTTGAATAAAAAAGAAGCATCAACATGTGACAGATGTGTGTGATTTTACATCAACATCTGTAATTCAGATTTAAAATAAAAACTGAAGTTGCCAAATTCAGATTAAAAAAAAAAAATTAAAGTTGAAAAATTCAGATTTAAAATAAAAACTGAAGTTGCCAAATTCAGATTAAAAAAAAAAAAAAAAAAAATTAAAGTTGAGAAATTCAGTTGAAACATTCAGGTCAAAGTTCACGTCACGTTCTGTTACTGTGGGAGTCGCTGACACCAGGGGGCGCTGTGCTCACACACGCCAAAAAACAGACGTTCAACATCTTCACATGAAAAACCGAGCGGGAAGGATTTTTTAAAGATTCCATGTGTCATTCATTCATTCGTTTTTCAAAATAAAACCAAAAATAAGAAAACGAAAAAAAAAGCTTTTATTTTCTTCATTATTTGTCTCCAAAACCAAAATAAAAAAACAGATAAAGATTTGTTTTTTCAGTTTTTGATTTTGTGTTTAAATGAATAAAAACGAATAGCAGATTAAACCAGGACTGAACCAGGACTGAACCAGAACTAAACCAGAACTGAACCAGGACTGAACCAAGACTGAACCAAGACTGAACCAGGACTAAACCAGGACTAAAACAAGACTACATCAGCGCCGAACCAGGTCTAAACCAGTCTCAGTTCTGGTCTGGTCTCGGTCCAGGTCTCAGTCCAGGTCTCGGTCCAGGTCTCAGGTCTCAGGTCCAGGTCTCGGTCCAGGTCTTAGTCCTAGCATAGTCTTGTTTTAGTCCTGGTTTAGTCCTGGTTTGTAGTGGAGCTGTTAAGGACCAAAAAAGTGCCCATTTATTAACTTTTCTGGTACAAGAATGAAACTTTACCAGATTATTAAAGATTTGTCAATATGGAACCGAGTCCAAGTCGACCCTGGAGTCGAGTCCTGCACATGTCACAAAACGACCGACATGGAAACGAGGCTGAGAGACAAACTGCTGCGTAAACTGCATTTTTGGAAAATAATGTTAAATGATCAGATATTATCACTGATGCTTCCGCTTCTGCAGATATGAGCCCAGACTCTTCCACTCGTGCGTGTGGCCCTGGGAAATCAGCACGAATCTTTATCTTCTATTGGTTATTTATTATTCACCACAGATTGGAGCCTTTTAACGGTGCCGTAGAGAGAGAAGTAAACACCAAGACCAAAAACTGAAGTGAATTCATCTGATATAAAAGTGTATTAACAGATACATATGTACTCGAGTTTATCAAACTGTTGACCTTTTTTCTGTTCCATTTTTGGTTCTAAAGTTCCATCCGTTTTAAACAGACCATGAATGAAACATGGAACAAAAATTATTTCCCAAATTTCAAAGACCTGAAAATCATGTAAATAAATGTTTGTATTTCATCATATCTTGTGTTATTCCATCTTTGAACTGTTGATGAAGGGACAGGATTTAAAAAAAAAAAAAAAAAAAGTATTTAAAATGATAAAAATGTTCTTGGAAGGACTGACATATTTTGTAGAAATAGTTTATTTCATTTTGAAGTAATATTAAAGTTTTCAGAAGAAAAAAGCCACAAATGATGTAAAATCCTGCACCTTCTACTTGTTTGTACAATTTTCCCTCCGTTACCACTTGACCCTGAGAAAATGTGAAGAGGCAGAAACAGAGATTAAAAGAAAACATTTAAGACTGAACTACAAGTGGACAATGTTGCATAAAACATAAAGCTGCACTGTGTCACTTTTTGGTCGGGGGTCAGTCACCTGCTTGTTTCTGTGAACATCTCATTATGTTCCACAGTGTGACATTAAACTCTACTTTACATGTACTTTCAATTCCATGTGGTTTTACAGCTCAAAAATACCCAGAAAAACAAACATTGTGGCTGT